ATTCAAACCGGCCAAAGACTCGCCGAAGTAAGCCGACATTCTTCATAGCACAAAGCATACCTGAATACCTCTATCGCCCAGCGGTTCAAAGCTTTTCAGACTGCCAGCAATCGAAGAAAACCTCACTCGATTTTAAATTTTGCAAGGGCCTATCCATCAGATTGTGTAAGGAATGTTGAATCAGTCAAGAGCAACTCAGAGCTCCTTCGCCGAATCACTCAGTATTTCAGGATCGATTGATTAGGATGTTATATCCCATCGACACACTGTCGAATAACTTGTGAATGCTGGAGCGTCTCGGAAAGGAGGTCACGTGAAAACCAACGAAATAATTAAGACAGTGAATTCGGCTAGCACAAAGATTGCATCATCATGACTTCAAGGTTGGATTCGCTCTTGCTCGGACAAGGTGGTTCTCAATCGTACCAAGTAAGAAACAAGCAACCAATTATGTGCATTATTACATAGGTTTCTGGGGATGGTTTGGTGGTATCATGTGATACAATAGACCAGTTTCGAGCGGGGTTACCGCAGTTGGTCCATGGATATGCTGACCGTGATATTTTTAATACAGATGAAACAGAGTTGTATTATTAGCAGCTCCAAGAAAGAACTTTAGGTTTCAACGACAAAACCGTTTCTGGATCCAAGAAATCCAAAGAAATGGTCACGTTTCTTCCTTGTGGGAGCATGACTGGCTAAACGTTATCACCGCTGGGTATTGGGAAATTTCACACTCCCCGATGTCTTCGAAATATCGATAAAAAGCTTTCTCTACGGTAATAATTCTTTAAGGAACCTATAGATCACTTCTGCGTTATGTCACAGTTGGCTGTCCGAAGTAAGCCGCAAAAGGTTTTCATAATGATGCTCTAGTTTACCGTTTGTAGATAGTGAACCTTGCCATAACAAAGCCAAAGTATCGTTCAATGTTAAAGTAGAAGTTTTATAATGGGAAATACTTACAAGCTGTTGTTTTTCTTGTCCCATAGGGTTTAGGACAAATGGATCGATTTACGGTCAATGGACAGATGTGGAATGTCACATACTATCGTTGTTTCGTAACTGTTACGGGATGTCAAAATTTAAGACTTGTCACAGTTTCATTCAGTTTATGTTTGTAATCATCAGTTGGGGGAGCAGAAACAACGTTATATGGTAGAGAACTCCAAATACTGCACAGTCTGATGGCACATGAATAATGCGGACATTCCAGTCGACATTTATAGAGTACTAATTTAAATGAGTGCCCCATAAGGTGAGTGCTGGGCGACACGGCTTACAGAGAATCACATAGGTGATCAGGGTTCTGCATAGTTTGATACACTAAAATCAAGTCCCCCTCGAATGCGGTGACACTGTGGAGTCCATCCCCAATGATTCAAATTTTTTTACATTGGTCTTGGAATGCAGTCATTCGACCATTTTGGCGACCATTCTATGTGGAGGCTCCAAAATCTTACGATCTCGTTCAGCCATGGATATCTACAGACGCTAATGGTGCACATTTTTCACCAGAAAATCGCGAATAGATTGCACAGCGAACAATCAGTTTGAATATGCGAAAGACGTCAAGGTTCTGATTATACCCCGTAACCGATAACTTCACTCATTTTAGATGTTGATTTTTCCTTCTAATGAGATTTTGTTCTCACTTTATTCGAAATGGCTCATTTTTTTCCTTGAGTGGGTTAATATTGATGTGATTATTATAGCTAAACAGTTGTATATTATGGTGGACGTCATTTAATCAATTCTGTGGTTAGTCTAGCATTGCAACGGAATGGGGGAATATATGGAACTATTATGCACCATTGGGTTTCAAGAAATTCCCTGAAGAAAGGCGAGTAGTTCTCTTCGGGATAAATAGATACTAAGAACTGACAAAGACCTGAATACCGCATGCAATGTACCGATATTATGCTAAGGGCATCATAAAAGGTTCTGATTTCTTCGACACATAAAGGACAAGCAGGACTATATATCTAAATTCCGTTAAAAGTTAAAAGTACATTATTATAAACATGGGGTCTAGTAACGAAATTAATGAACTTTTCACCGATCCGTTTTTTTTTTCATATAGCCCCCGATAGATATTTTCTACTACCTAATAGCCCCTACTACTGACTAACATGCTATGTCGCAGTTCCTGGAATTTACCCACCTCTTCGAATTCGTGATGGGTGCGACAGCATGAGCTCGACTGTATATAGGGAAGTTAGGCGACGGTTCTCAGGTTTGAACTTTGAAGTCACAGTTGGCTATTTCAACGAGCAAACCATTTGACCACCGCTGAATCGCTGGATAAAAGTTGTGAATAAACTAACCGCGGAGAAATTCCGTTCGATGACAACTTGGTACGATTTAAGTGGATAGATACGTGTTGAACTACTAAATTTCATCATCACCTTTCCCATATTCAGTCAGCGAACTGGCTAATCACTTCATCTTCATCGGTAAGTGGACTAAGATGCACGCAACCGCATCAAAATTCGAAGTTTTGACGAAATAGCCCTCGCATCCACGATGAATATTGCGAAGTATTAGAGTGGCAAGCTTGGATTAGCCCATTAGCTGGTTAAGAGGCACCAGGCACTCTTGATGTTCCCGACTGAGCCATTCGCACAAGGTAGTGGCCATCGATCGTGTAGCTCAGGGGTAAGGGTTTGAAATCCCAACCCGATGAATCGTGGTTCCAGTCCTGACAGGGACACAAAAATACACACCGCTGAGGAGTCCCGATCAGGATGAAACAGCTCTTTGTTGGATATCACAAACATTTCTATCGCGAAATACGTTCAGCTTTTCGGTTTCATCAACGGATACTACTAGGAATCGAATCCCTTTTTATCTAGTAGTTATTCTTTATCAAGCATATCGACAAATCTGCATGTGTATTTTATCAAGACCCCTTTTTTGTAAGCATGCAGGCTTCTTACATAGCCCGGTCATGAATCGTGTACGAACCAACGGCATATCGTATTTCGTATTTGGCACACGTCTGAGTTCAGATTGTGCGCGAAACAAATCACGGTACAACATAATATTTATAACTAAGAAAAAAGGTCCATGATTTGCTTGTGGGCGAAATACTGCTGCCGGTTGCCCAGGTAAAGAAAAGTGAATTTTCTTAGTTAGTTCCCAACCGGAGCCTTCTAGCAATAAAAGCCCGACCCACAAGGCAGCGAGGCGGTGTCAGAAAACCGTAATTTATTTTGGGCCGGTGCCTGTTTCATCGAATCGCACGCTTTCTTGACGGGGTGAAACATCCAAAGTACCCAAGACACCTCGAGTCCCAATTTAGCCGACGACCACTGCTAGAACCATATAAAACCAACCATCATTCAGCGAGTCAGGAAAAATCGGAACAGAGCATATCAATGACTACTCGCTTAGGATACCTGATGTTAAGAAATACAGTTAGGTACAAATAATTTTTCTCTAGTACGTCGATGGCGAAACAACGGTTCAATCCCCCTCTCGTAGGAAAAAAGGCCTAATTGATGCAACATTTTGTAATGAATCCAATGAGATCGAACAAATTCTAAGGAGTACAAAAACCGGTGGTCAAAGAACGTTTTCCAAAGAGAACAGAAACTCTTGAAAAGTGACCAATTCGTTCATCGAATCGTCAGGGTTAAAAGTTTTAAAAATTGTAACTCACGTGGATTTTCACGGGGACTGGGTAGGCAGTCATAATTCCAACGGATACGTTGGTGCAGGGTATATGGAATGGAATTGATGCAATCTGGTCCAAAATGTCGGATGTAACAAAAAATGGGAGGTATCATAGTGTCTGGGAATTCGTAAGTAGGGACGAATAACTAATGGGGTTTGACGTTTAAAACGCAAAGACAGGTCGTAAGTAACAAAATCGATTGCCATTTTAGCATCGGCGTGCATGAGCAAAGCAAGCTCGGCCGCTTCCACAATCCGATCAATGGTCAGATCGGTGAGCAGGTCGTTTAGTCGTCGCATTCGCCGCATCTCCTGTAACTGTAACCACAGCATTTGATGACGATACACGTTCAGTGTCTCGCGAATCACAGTCGAGACGAACTGACTGAAACGAGAACCTCGGAAACGGGGTGAGCGACCACGACGTCGAAGGAATCGGATCCGTCTCAAATTGCTCCATGTACACTGGACAGAATGGAATAAACTTATCAATGAAATCCAACGTAATGAATGCCAGAACAAACGAGTGTCGTGAACACCAAGCAAATATCTGTGGTTTGATCAGAAATTAGTTTATTTATTGGAACATGGCAATCGTTTAGGTAGATAACATATAAATGCTGCAAAATTCACCAAGCATTACAATCAAAGAAGTTGAACGATTACCTTAAGAAGTAACACATTATAAGCTAAATAAAAATAAAATCATCAAGTTATCATCATCCTCAACCATGTTCCGACGACTTATTGGCTATTGAATATTTGAACACAGGTTAACTGTCTAGGTTTATAGCAAGCAGACAAAATCACATGGACAAATATTTACTGTGAATTCAAACTGCTGATTGGCGTTCCCCTTCAAAGTGTAAAATGCCACTAACAGTTTCACTTTTTCAGTTTTATAACCATTAACCATGCACTTTCGTGTGCTGGTTTTGGTTGCTGTCTTTTGGTTGCCCATTTGGATAAAATAGCGAATCGAAGATTGGAATGTCGAAGCAACTTCAAGCGGAAGATGAGGAATACATATATAGTGAGATGGGGGAATACATATAGAGTGTGTTAGGAAAGTAACGAGTGGATGCACGAGCGCCACTGTTTGCGACACCAGCCATATCACTCAGTG